CGAATTGTACACTTGCCATGTGCTCCTACACATGGATTTCAACAACAGGCCCTGGACGTCTGTATCCAGCACTAAACTGCAAAACCTTGCGCTCTCAACTGCAATGCCATTAGTATTTTTTTCAGCAAACCCTGACACCAGATTCCGCTCGGGCTGTGTAGGTATGGTCTCGCTGGGATTTATTATGCTGCGCCCTGGTGTAGTACCAATAGATCAGAGAACCATGACCTCCTGGGCCAATTGGGAGTGATGAGCCCCTCGCATGTTCTCTCTATGCTGATCTTCTCCAGGACCTTTGGTTCAAGTAGCCGGTTCTGATTGTAGAATAGCTGAAAAGGCGCGTTCATCTGGTTGAGGTGGCGGCCTTGCTGTCATCCATCGTCCCGATTTTAATTTCACCCCATTACATACCCCGGTTTCTAAATCCTTTGAGTGCTTGGCCCTTAAGGTAACGTGCACAGTGCCTTTCGTCATTGTTTACATTTATTGCCCACCAAAATCTAATGCCATATTTGTAGCAGAATTTTCTGATTTGCTGTCATGTTTATATCCCACTTACAATTGGATGTTACTATTAGGTGATTTGAATATTCACGTTGATTCTTCAAACTGTTCCTCTGCGAAGGAATCTTAAGTTCTCCTGGATTGTGTTTGTTTCTCCTAACTTGTAAACTTTCCTACTCACAATCTTGGTCACACCATTGATCTAGTTATTATGTGTGTCTTGCCCATTTCAAATTCAAATTTGTTCAATGTTGCTGTATCTGGTCACTTTGCCATTTTTATACTTTATTTACCACTTTACTTGAATGGAATCAAATGTACCATTAAATATAGGAATTGAAAATATTTCAATTAAGTTTGCCGAGTCAATTCGTCATCCATATCCTCAAACGTTCAGTTTCTTTCTTTGGAGAGCAAGGTTCTTCTTTATAATTCAACACTTTCCAATAATCTTGACTCTTTGGTAGAACTTAAATCACATCTTGCCTCCACCAATCGGCGATCTCCCTGGTAAACTGATAATCTGCACTTCTTAAAAACATTTGGGAGAAAGCCTGAGCATAGATATAAATCTGAAAGCAACATCCATATATATCAAGACGCATTAAATCCGGCAAGGAATGCATTCTTTTCTATGCTCATTAAGGATGGCGATAGAAACCAAAGAACACTTTTCTCTACATGTGATCAAATGTTAAAATTATATTGTAAATCATTCTTACCTGGTTCCATTGTGACATGTAATGCGTTTCTTGATTTTTGTAAACAACCCCCCGATTTATTCTGGTTTTTATTTTACTGATTTCACCGTGCCACCCCCATCACACTTCTCTGACCTTGCCTCCAAAGTAAAACCTTACAACTTGTTCCATAGATCCCATTCCAACTTCTCTGGTGTTTTCAGTTTTTAATGTAATGTGTCCCCTGGTCGTGTCTATAATTTGTGAATCGTGTAGTAGTACCTCGTGGTTTACAATTGGCTACTGTTATTCCATTAACAAAATTATAGACCCATATCTAGTTTAAGTTTTTTGTCTAAAGTTTTTGAGCATGTAGTTCAGTGGTTCTTAACCTTTACTGCAGCCTTGTACCCCTTTGTTTCTCAATCTTAAAGAAAATATCATGTTAATACATAGGTTTGATGAAACAAAGCATTTGTACTTACGTACCCTTGCAAATGTGTTTCGAAGATTTACCTTTAAAAAATCTGCCCATATCTCGCACCCCCAGAAAGGGCATCTCACACCCGCAGGAGGTGTGTGCACCCCAGGGTAAGAACTACTAATGTAGTGGCTCAGCAGATAAAATATAATCTTTCAGAATTTAATTTTTTTGCAATTTCAGTCGGGCTTTATAGCGATGCACAGTACGGAAATAGCACTTGTTAAGGTTGGAAATTATTTATTTATTATTGCCGATTTTGGTGCACTCGCCATCTTGGTACTTATGGATCTTAGTACCGATTTTGATACTGTTGATCATTTCATTTTGCTAAAAGGTCTTGAGACTTCTGTAAGCATCTCAGGTACTGCTCCCTTAGCTAATGTCATACTTGTCCAACAGAGCAGTTTGTCTCAATGGGCCACTGCTCATCTGTTCATGGTTTCGTGTCCTCAGGGGTTCCTCTCAGTGCTGACTTTTTTGGCATCTGTTGTTCAGCCTATATATATTACCACTTTGCCAAATTTTTCGTCGTCATGGCTTAAATGTTAACTTTTATGCTTATGACTCACACATTTATCTTAAGACTATGACTAAAACAAAAGTAGCAGTTTCCGTACGAGTACGTTGTCTTGCTGAAGTCAAAGCCATGGATGAACCTAAACTTTCTTAAATTAAATTGCGATAAAATAGATTATGTTATTGGGCTCTACACATCAAGTGCGTAAATTGTATGGTTTTAGTATAGCCATAGACGGGACTGTTATCCTAGACACTGGTCTGACATTTGAAGCCCACATATGTAATATTACCAAAATCTCGTTTTTCATTTAAGTTACATAGCTTGACTAAGACCTATGCTGTCCCTTCCTGATGCCAACAGGCTGGTGCATGCCTTTGGATGACTGTAACTACCTTACTTTCTGACGTTTAAAAAAGTGTTTTAAATAGATTACAATATATTCAAAACTCAGCTGCCCGGGTTTCAACCAGATCTAAATCGTATAGCCATATTACTCCTAGTCTTTCATCCCTGCACTGGTTCTCTGTATAGTACAGAATCGACTTAAATATTTTGCTTCTCACATTTAAGGCTTTTAGTGGGCTGGCTCCTAAAAAAAATTCGCCAGTCCTTGTCTAGTTTTATAGACCACTACGGAAACTTAGATCAGATGATTGTGGTCTACTCATCATTCCAAAGACAAGACTATGTTCTATGGGAGATTAAACCTTCTGCAGAAAGGATCCGCGATTGTGGAATCCCCTTGCTGGACCCATTAGCGATTCTGAGTCAGTTTCACTTTTTAAATTACGTTTTAAATATCACCTATTTGTACAGGCTTTCCCCATAACTTAAGATAAAAAAACCAATGTTGCTGTCTGATTGGATGACTGTAATAATTCTAATTTTCATTCGCTTTCATCATAGTTCTTCATTTTATTGGAATTTCGAGAGTAGTCATGGATACTGTTATTATCAACTTTCTATTTCGCTTATACGTTATCTATTCTTGTGAGTGTAGTTTTTATTTTTACAGACAATCCTTTGAAATACTTCAATATGAAAGGCGCTTTATAAAATAGATTAGATTTTATTCAATAAATCGCTCATTAATTCCATAATGTAATCATCAAATCAATTATTCATATTTTTTTATGAATACACAACATGAACAATTAGCAGTGTGCCCATATAGTTTTGTGTAGTGGGTACAAACCAGGTGGAGACTTCTCTCTTGGAGGCAACACATTTATTTTACAAATAACAATACAGAACACGAAGGGTTACGGCCCCTTCCACCCACTACACTAGGGAGGTATATCCTCCTCACTGGCGTGCCCTATACATCCGGAGCTAATGTCCATAGGGTCCTCCCGCTATCGGGTTCTAGGGAGGCTATCTGACCCGACCCAGCCAAGGTCCTCGGGTCCTATCAGCCAGGCTGCTCGGACCTGACCCAGCCAAGGTCCTCGGGTCCGACTCTGGCTCCTAGGTCTTCAGGGCTGTCTTCAGGGCAGTGTCTTCATCTTCGAGTGGATGACAACTGCCGGTCCCGTTCAGGGGTCCGGCTTTTATACCGGCTCCTGGCTCACTCCGCCCCTAGCCACTCCTCCCTTCTGGAACCGTCTAGAGGGGCCTGGAGTGTGACGTTATCCCGCAGCCCCCCTTTTGGGGGGGGGGGGGTCTGGGGTCTGCACCTCCCGTCCCGAGCTACGCTGGGGGTTACCTTGGCCCAACGGGCTCACTCATCTCCATTAGCCTCCCTTCTGCCCCCTGTTGACTCGAGGCCGTTATTACAGGCTGTAAGTAGTGGCAATCGCACACTGCGCACAACGATGCCGCTACATTTGTAACTGCAGTTTCGTACAGGCTTTTGTTCTGAATATACCGTGATACTGTGCATACACTCAGTCAAGTACAAATACTGCTGGGGAGCAAAAAATAAAACCACCTTTAACAGTTTCTTTCACAAAATAACTTGAAACTGACACACTACTTCCTATTATCTGTCTCCCAGCTCGATTTTATTAAACTTCACCAGGGCACTCACTTTTATTCATCCTTTTTGGCATTTTCTCCAAAATCTGTAGAATGTAGTGTTATGTAACTGAACGGTACTAGCGCACACATTGTCCACTAAGTTAAATGAGGCAGGATATCTGGTTAATTTCCCACCACTTAGCAGCAGGATAGTGGTGGTGCCAAGGGTTACTGTCATCCACAGTTCCTAATTGGTGGCCAAGTAGGGTGTGTATGGCATGCAAGCTAATGGTAAATTAACGCCTCATTTCCCAAAGTCCTGACTTCATGTCATAATTGTCAATGGCTAGGGAGCACTAAGTGCCAATATCTCATGTGCTACTATAATTCGTGAAAACTCATCCGTGAGAAAGGCATGATGTTAGCACTGACAAAGGTCCTGGATGTCAGAAAACCTGCAACAGATGGACACATTCAATTCTAGTGGGGCCGTTTCTTGTGGTGTTCAACATATGTTGAACTTAGTACTACGAGGTTACAAATATTTTCCGTTGTGCTCTATCCAACCCAGAAACAGTCTTGTTCTTCTGCAAGCAGTGCATCTCGTTTCTTTGGCCAATTTAGTACTGTTTATAGGGATGTAAAAACAATCATAAAGGTAAAGGTCAGTGTGTAGAGGCAATACCTCAGGGCTGAGTACTCAGGCCATATCTGTTTATAGGACCAAACACACAGGCTGTAGGTTCACATGCTAGTGTATGTGTGTTGAAGAGCCTGAGCCCGTGACCCCGTGACTGGTGGTTAAGGTGCTATCAGGGCTTATCTGACCCCGTGTCCTTGATCGTGCACAAACCTTCAGCCATGGCTCTGCGTGCTCAGCTTGCAGAGTCACAGTCAATGAAGGAACCGGTCCCTCCTTGCAGAGCTGTGGGAACACAGATGGAGCTCAGTTGAGGTAGGGGGGTGGAACAGCTGTGGGAGCTGTGATTGAGGAATGAGACAGATGGCACAGCTGTTTGAATTTTCCATGGCTGTGACATCTCCTTCACAATTACTTTCTTTGGTACCACATTCATCTACGGGCAAATCTTGAAGAATCCTCAGATAACATTAAACAATCCTGGAAACCCCAATCCTTGCAAATAACAGGTTTTGTGGATACAATAAGGGAAAAAGCAATTACACTGGAATAGCAATTGGTCATATTTTTTCGAGATACACTCTTATCATAATTGAAGCACTGAAACCAACACCCATCCCCTGGTTCCTTATTCAGGTAAAACTTCTGCTACCAAATATCGAAGAGACATGCAAACTGCAAGGAAATTTACATGTTTTTTTGGCAATGACAACCTACCCATAAAAAATAAGTATTTTTACACAACCCATCGGCCCCATTCCAGGGGTGCATACTTCCAGCTGCATTGATGATATTTTCGATCAAATGCCATTAAACAAAATATGTGAGTGCATTATTCTAGCAGTATTTATATAATCAAAGCTGCTGGAATTGTGCACTCCCAGGAATAACTGGGTGGAGGACAATGGGTTTTGTAAAACACACTTTTTGTTTTTCATTGTGGAGATATATGAAGGAGACATTGTAGGTATTATATAATTTTTCCTCGAGCTAAGACCCTTATCTATAACATCTAGAAGTTACCCAGGATTGATTCCAGCAAAACTGACTTCATCACATACCGTAATTTGAAACGGGTCAAGTGTTTTTATTTATCCCTTTTCTAAAAATGTATTTTGTGGTTTCAGACAACGTTATGTTTACTTTATAGCCTTTATCAACTTTGAATGCTAAATTGGTCGAGCATATACATTTCCACAGGTCTATGTGTCTAGTACTTCGTACACCATCAGCTAGCCTCTGTGAGATGAAAACAGAATTTCAGTATCTAAGGGACTCTTTTTGCCGGTATCAAGGTGATGGAATAAAAATATGATTTACCATTTCTGGCAATACTGTGGGTGTTAAGATGTTGAGTAAACAAGCCCTCTTGTTGGTAAACAGCCTACAGAAAATACTGACAGGAACTAGGTGCTCGAACATCTAGGTTGAACCTGTAAGGTCGCTAAGGGAAATAACTTTTAGTTCACAACGGGGTAGACAGAGCTCGCTTAGCCTTTTCAGGCAAATTTGGCTAGAAAACTAAAAAAGTTTAAACTCCAAACCTGGGCTGTCCTAGATCTAAGCAATAGAGAAGGCAAATAGACTATGGGATAACTGCTGATAAATGGTTCGCAACTAGGTAACAAATGATCGTGGCAGAGTGGATTATGAACATAAACTACTGCACATGAAGACAATTATAATTGATAACACTGGTCAACACACTTTTTCTGGCATAAGGTATTCCAACGGTTTTAAGGTAATTTTGGGTTGCTGATTCCAAATCTGGCATCAGTTTTTGTCTATCACATCAGGTTTTTGAGATATCAAATATTGCATTTTCAATAAAAACTGCAGAAGAAAAATATTAAATAATTGTGGATATCTACATAAAATTATATTATAAACACACTATCCAAAAAATACAGCACCATATTTTAACACTAAAGCAGCAACTGACTCGCAACAACTTGCAATCATAAGTGACGAGTTAATTTCGGGTAAAATCAATGGAAATGGGGTATACCAATAGCATAAAAGATGTGATAAAGCAAATCTGATATCAGATTTGGAATCAGCACCCTGAAATTAGTCTAAAACAGCTGCAAAAGTCCAGGCCAGAAAAAAATGTTTTTTTTTGTTGACCTGAGTAATAAAACCGACTCGAATGGCATCCAGATAAGATCTGTGCTAAGCATAAAAGTACTCTAGCATTAATGAGAAATTACCTAATGGGCCCTACTGCCACGGCTAAAAAAGTAATATAACGATTGGTATATATCAAAACCTAAATCAAGATGAACAAAAATTTGTCATGGATTCAAAATACACAGTTAGTATGAATACCAAACACCAAACACACTGATAAAATCTAGGGAAAGAGAATACTGTATGGAAATGTATTCTTAAGTCACGCAGAGTGAGGGAAGGAGCAGAAAATGAAGTGTTTTGACCTGTCGCCAGGTAGTTGGAACAAAACGCAAGTGACTGGAGTGAATTGCAGAATTATGAATGCCACTATCTAGCTCGTATGTTTATAATTTTGCATATCTTAATACTAACATTTAACTAATTTATGATAATGCATAACTATGCAATGGCTATGTTGCTAATTTGGTTAAGGAGACATAGGAGAATATTGGTTTTATTTTCTGTGCCAAAGCCGTCTTTAACTCCAAACGAACATATGCACAAATTTGCCCAAAGTTGGAATACAGGTGTCATATCTGGGGTTCAGCACCCATTTTCAACCTCACTGTACTTGCTCAAATTAAACTTAAAGCAGTCATGTTGATTGATGATCCAGAACTCACTACAGTACATAAATTCAGACCACTATGCATTGGGTGAATAAAAGCAAAATAATCATGAAGAGCAACAGAACAAAACACGTGGAATGTTGCAAGGGTGTCAATCAATTGCATTATAAGGTACAATATGTCATCGAACAAAATCTATTCTGCCTTCAGCAATTCAGAGAATGCCTTTAAGGAAACCATTATTCAATTTGACAAATATATCACAAGAACAAAACAATCATACGATTAAAAGACCAAACAAGGACAGGAATATGCAAAATCATAAGAGATACTTCAAAACACATAGACTGCAAAAGGCCAAAGATAGCTAGTGTGGGTAAAATAAAACGTCGCAAAAGATTGGCAGAGAGCAGTAAAGCAAGAGACATATGTACTTATTTCACAGAGGCATCAAATACGGGTTTTTTTCAGTGCTGAAAATGACTACACAAAACACAATTCAGCCCAGGTTGTTACGCTGTTATCGTATGTGTGGTGGAGCACCCAGTTCCTATATCGCCATATCTGATAAAATTTAAAGTAGTCAAAATACATAATCCTCATTGACGTCATTGTGGAAAATATAATAAAATAAATATGAGAACACGTCTCCTTCATAAAATAGATAAACAGGCAATTTATCATCATATATTGGTTTCTCCACAAAGTTTTATATCAACATGTTACACAATGTCCCCTTCCTACATCTGCATTCACACAAAAAAAAACATAATTTCAGCAGCACTGATTCAGGACAAGCAAACTCTGTACCGGTTTCGACAGTCTCAACAGCAATCAGGCTTGCTTGAACCAATGTTGGTGCTATACAGAATGATCATCATTTTTTTTCGCAAAATTATAATACATTATAAAATTATCATTCACATTGTCATGGAGAATATAACAAAGATAAATAAGCAGACTACAACTTCATACATCAGTCCTGCCACAGAAAAAAATATATGTTTACACATCCCATCAGCCACAATCCTGACTGCTGATGAGACACTGTATATCAAAATCACGCCAGTTTGCTTGTAGTGTACTGAACAGTTTCTTCTGAAATTAAGCACCCCCAAAAGGTCGTGTGGCTGATGGGATGTTTAAAAATATATTTTACTTCTTATAACCTTGCTCAATTCAAGAAACGCATGGTAACTCTTTGCCAAAAAATGGGGCACCGTACTCTGTGGTTGAGTACATCAGGTCAATGGCCAGTGTCCGAGGCATGAAGGCATCTGCACCACAGCGTCTACCAGCTTATTTTTTAAGCAGATTCACCCTGGGCTGATTTCCAACAACTAAACTGAGATGAAATACAGGAAACACATACAACGTTTCAAGTTTTCTAAAACACATATCTATACATGTGTAGTGTAGCACAAGTCGGAGACGAGGTAGTTGCAGGACGCACCTTCTATATTAACAATCTTTAGGTTCAACAGGTTCACCTCGTTCCTTCTCGATGTCGTACAGCCCAGCCTAGACACAACCCTAACCGCGTTACACTGACGGTGTCGACCGAGACAGCCAACAACTATCCGGCCCCACAATTATCGAGTGAAGGCGGCAGCCACGAAGGTGGCAAAGACAACAGCGACAAGACGAGTCCACTCCCAGAACTGGCAGCCCAGAGCGCTCGCTCTCCGCTGCTTTTATCCTACTCAGCGCGGCCTGGCTCTGCCCTGAGAAAGGAAATTATCCGGAGACGGAAGGAGCGGAGCTGTGCAGTACTACATTTAATAAAAGAAGCACCCTGACAAGAATAGTCGTGGAAGTCGTTTATTAATAGTAAAAACATAAGACTTCCAATGTATCCTGCAAAGTAAGTTAATTTTAAGAAAGATAGGAAATCGCACATCCCTTGTACGCGACTGCCTGTCCGTCTCTCCAAGCCAGCAAAACTTGTATTCTTATATAGAGCCCTGTCTCTATCCACCTTTCTCTTGCGTTCTCGTACTGTACACCAAACACATCCATCCCAGTGGTTTTGCTATCGCGGTTTTGTGAGAAATATAATGATGTAGCATTCACCGATCATGCGTGGTGACGTCACACCACGCACGTGCACTTGGGAACTCGACACCCAGCCGGACAGGAATCCACCCAGATCAACCAGCCAGACAACGTTTTTCTAACACTGTATTGCGTGACATACAAATTTGAACCATTTTGGCAAATGTTTAACCAGAAAGAAAACTGACAAGACCAATTGAATCATAACTGATAACAAAAAATGCAACACTTCGTCAGTAACGCCGCTTAATATTTTGTTTTCCATTTAAGGCAGTGTTATTTATGAATGTGTTGAGTTGTGCTTGTGCACTACTGCCAACGTGATATCACACAATTCATAACTGGTAAAACCGGGTTTCAATTCACCCAAGCTATACCAGAAAACCAACCGGTTTGACTGGTTGCCACCAAAACTTGTGGTCCCATTGTGGTATACCAGACATTGTGCTTAACAATGTGTGCTCCAGAACTTGCACCAGTTCGTGAGAGGCTTTTCAAGCTCTACTCAATAGTGCCCACACTGTACCGACTTGACAAGTTGAGCGGCTCCTGCCAATCCCCAATTTGGATCATTCATTTTGTATGCACATTGTCCTCTCACCTTCGCTCCATTACGATGTTAAATCTCCTCTATCACTTGGTGTCATTATTTATCATTGACCATCAGTATAGGTTCCATTAAGGATGAATTTGCAGATGACCCATTAGCATATGTAACTCATTTTTGGGGCTCAAGAGTTGAAAAATATAACGGTCTATGATCAGTCCCTGACATTTTAAAATTATTTTTGGCTGGCATCCTGCACGAATGTACATCCTACTCTGTGGCATCAACTGAAGTCTGAAAGTTTGGATTTCTAGCTTTGTAATTGATCAATAACATGCGGTGGTTTATGGTAGTCAATCCTAAAACTTCACAGAAAACTGGCATTCCACAAGGCTCTGCTTGGTCTCCAACATTATTTTTTTTATCTTTATTAATTACTTATCTTACACTGAACATACGATCCATTCCCTTGCAAATGACAGTCCACATTACGCATCATACTAATTTAAATTACAATATACATTTAGCTACCCAACAGGCTGATACTTAACTATCACCACTGACTTGAATACATTCTCACTGCAATGACAAAAACATGATCACGTTCAAATAATAAAAAAAAACAATGACAAAATCACGTAACACTGGCAATTCCACATTTTCTCGCATCATATTTAACAATGTTATTCTTAGCCACAGTAAAATCACCTGCTTGGTGCAAAAATGTAATCGGACCTGTTCTGGAACGGCTGTATCACGAATCTGGCTGCTGCATCGAATACGTTTGTTTTTGTTCCGTGCTAAACCAAATATTACTACAGTATGCAAAACACAAATTCAGCCCTGGTTGTAACGCTGTTGTCATGTTTGGTGGTTTCGACAGTCTCATTTGCAGTCAGGCTTGCTTGAACCTGGTGTTATACAGAATGATTATCACTTTTTAGCAAAATTGTTATATATTACAAAATTATAATAAGCATTGTTGTGGAGAATATAACAAATATCAAAAAGTAGACTACAACTTCATATATCTGTCCCTCCACAGAAAATGTATTTTGTACACAGGCCTGACTGCTGATGAGACATCTCTAGGTCAGTGGTTCTTGACCTTTACTACAGCCTTGCCCCCCTTTGCTTCTCAATCGTAAAAAAATGTATAATGTTAATAAATACATAGGTTTGATGAAACGAAGTACATGTTGTACTCACGTGCCCGTGCTTAATTTGTGTTTTGACGATTTACTTTAAAAAAACAATCTGGCCACGTCTTGCACCCCCCGAAAAGGCATCGTGCACCCCAGGTTAAGACCCACAGTTCTTGGTCGAGATCAGTCCAGAGTTTGCCGATACTGTATGGTACAAATTATTCTGAATGAAGCACCCCCAGAAGGTCGTGTACCTGATGGGATGTTTACACATATATTTTAGTTCTTATATCCTTGCTCAATTCAAGAAACACATGGTAACTCTTTGCCAAAAAATGGGGCACAGTACTCTGTGGTTGAGTACATCAGATCAATGGCCAGTGTCCGAGGCATGGAGGCATCTGCACCACAGCGTCTATTCAAGAAACGTATATTATCTCGTCCATTACAAAGTTGATAAGTGTTGCTGGCCGCTTAACGTTGAGCCTTTTGGGGCTGTGCTCAGCCACTGCACGGAAACAAACAGCGACAGAAAACCCAGTTACAATAAACACGAATACTACAGATAAACGTGACAAACATGCCTACGCAGTCAACGATTCATCGTATAGCCTTGACGAGACTAATGAACGGCGTTCGAGGGGGAGATGATGTAGCCATCACCACACCAAGACGCATTTGTCTTGGTGTGGTGATGGCTTGGTGTGGAGTGGCTGGAATAGAACTCAGGCGCGAGTTGGCATGGCTGTTGCGCTTAATCACTGCAGCGGCGCCGCTCCAACGCTGTCTTCTCGTCAGGGAGCCTCGGTCGCAGATACAGCATCACCACCCTGATGGTGACCATCGTCATCCCGACGACAATAATCGTGAGAACAATAAACGTGAGGCAGAGAAGATGTAGAAGTGAACAGTGTCACTCCTAACGCTTCCCACCGCCTGGCTTTCGGCTCTTTGATTGCCACCTGTTGGGGGCCACTCCCGCCAGTCGCGTATCAGCAGCGAGACTAATAACAACAATACTGCATTACCTGTCAACCCCTTATCAGTGCCCTACCTTGTTACAGACCAATTTAGACCTTATTGATCACCCCGTGTCCCTTATAAATCTCAACGTTCATCCGACAAAGACCCATCACAAGGGAGAAACACAAAGACACACAAACATGTTTTCTGTGCCCGTATTGAAACGACTGTACACCGCATGGACCTGAAAGCTCAAATTCCCTGTACAGTACAAGAATACGGGGTAAACCGTGTGGGTTGATAGCTATGCACCACCACCACCATACCTGTCAACCCCTTATCAGTGCCTACATTATTACAGATCAATTCAAACCTTAATGGTCACCCCGTGCCCTTATAAATCTTAACGACATCACAAGGAAGAAAAACAAATACTGTAGACGTTTTTCCCCCCGTTTTGAAACGGCTTCACGCCGTATGGACCTGAAAGCTCAACTTCCCCTGTACAAGAATACTTGGTAAACCGTGTGGGTTTGACACGGCTCTGAATGCGGCACAGCAACAGCAACAACAACCACCACGTACCGCTCGCTGCAAGCCCAGCTCCGCGGTGGTGCCGCCGCCGCCGCTCCTGCCGCAGTCTCTGCGCTCTGACTCGAGCAGCGAGCTCGAGGTGCTGACACCGCCACGCGTGGGGGTGTCTACACCCCCACGCGTGGCGGTGTCTACACCCCCACGCGTGGCGGTGTCTACACCCCCACGCGTGGCGGTGTCTACACCCCCACGCGTGGCGGTGTCTACACCCCCACGCGTGGCGGTGTCTACACCCCCACGCGTGGCGGTGTCTACACCCCCACGCGTGGCGGTGTCTACACCCCCACGCGTGGCGGTGTCTACACCCCCACGCGTGGCGGTGTCTACACCCCCACGCGTGGCGGTGTCTACACCCCCACGCGTGGGGGTGGAGCAGAGGCGGAAGTTCCGCCGCGTGGCTCTCGGCCAGGTGCTTCCCAGGTCGAGTCGCGGGGCCGGGACAGCACCGGGGGGTGGGGGGGGCTGCGTTCTGCCGTGCCGCACGATGCGTCAACTGTCAGAAAAATATCTCTCTTTGAATGCCAACAGTCTCATGAACGTTTGCATACGCAGGTTATGGAGAATTTTTTTATTCAAACGTAAAGTTTTCCGTCGAAGTTTTGACATTTGTCATTGAAGGGTGTTCACAATGCAGCTGTCATTTATCACCACCAGCCAATACAAAGCCGCTGACAAAGGAGTTATGTTTAACACGTAGGCTTTCGCGACCAATATTATTCATAATATAGGTTTTTGGGTCAGATCGCGTTATTTATAAATGTGTCGTAACCCTCCACCACCCGACACGGCCAAACAGTAAAAAAATGTGTCACGTTTTCAAAGGACAAATTAATTGACTTCTTTAGCCCACCGGTGTGCTGAAGAGAGAATCAACAGCATTTTAAAAATTTTAAATGCTGTCTCATATTTTATACTGGCAAATGAGGTTCCAATGGTGTAAATTCTTACCCCGAGCTCTCATACTCTGAAGGTGCATTGTCTTTGAGTTGTGCGCCTTTTGGCGTCATCTGGTCCAACACCATGTGAGACTAGGCTCTAAGCCGTAGACTCATCCACCCTGCTGCACACTACGTGTACACTCATCCACCCTGGACAAATAAATAGGAACAATGTGAGGACAATTTCAATGAGTGGGTCATGCTGTGTTTAGAGCGCTTGACTCGTATAATCAGAAGGTTGTGAGTTTAAATCCTGCTTGAGTGCCAACTCGGCACATTATCCCTCCAGGATCAATAAAATGCAAACGATTTTTCGGCAAACCAACAGTGGTCATATTATAGGGAGACCGGCTCCCACCATGATGAAGTGGAATTTCCACCACTGGTTGAGAAATGTGAACAGAAGAGAGTGCCGTTTCTTGCTGTAATACTTTGTGCGGGAGGCTGCTACGTGTTCTCGAACGATGCACCTCGATATACGAAGTAGATGCGTCCCTGAAGCTTCGTTCATATATCGAAACTTCGTATATTGAATAACTTATAGCATTAGTAGTATTAGGATGCGTTCTCAGCCTTCGTAACTTACCATAGCATTCTATAAACACTTCATAACTTCGACTTCAAACTTTCGTGACGGCAGGAATTCATATTATATGGTTCTTTCGGTAAAGTCACGTAGATAGAAAAAAATATAATAACACTAAAATAATACAAATAAAGTTAATAAAAATAATAAAAAATATAACGTTTCAATCGCAACACAAGCGGTCGTCATTACTTGTGTTACGATTGAAACGTGATATTTGTATTATTTTTATTCACTTTATTTTTATTATGTAATGTTATTATATTTATCTATCTACATGACTTTACCGAAAGAACCATAGAATAATACTTCGTAACTTACCATTCATATTATAAGTAAATACGTATTATATTGAAAATAATATATTTAATACTGTACAGTATTAAAATAAAAAACTGACATGAACAAGAGAAACGGTGGACTATACAGTAAAATCTGATCACACTCAACAGTGTTGATTTCGGTGCAGTCGGAAGGATGCATTGCACACCAAACACTAGAGCTCCGTAACATCGTACGTTGCTGCGCGCTATGTTGGCCCAGATGAAAGTAAACTTTGTATAACCCATCGCGATGCGTAATGCTTAAGAAACCATATCTTATTATAATTTGATTCTTATTTATATCGTACTGTAGATGGATACGTTTATTATTTATTAATACATATCAGTGTATTTAAGTATTATTTTACCTTATTTTTCATTAACAATATAATGTAAATAAATCTAAAGTTTGATGTACTGATATCGAATGTTTACATATCAAGGTACTGCTGTAGTCTATGTTTTGAAGAGGAACGCATTGCACGTTGCAACATCGTACACGTTTGTGGTTGGTACACATGACTCGTGCAGCAGGTGTGTAATGATGTCAGGTAGAAACAACCACAGCAATAAACAATTGCTAAAGTGGGCAAAAGGAGGCTGCTTGTGACAGGAGGCTATATACAGTACTGTATACGTAAGAGGGGGGGAGCCAGGGAGGAGAGATAGAGAGGGTGGGGGTGTGGGGTAGGGGGAGTGGCGAAGTTCAAGATGCACCCTCCCCCCCTCTTACGTATTGTATATATAGCCTCGTGTCACAAGCAGCCTCCTTTTGCCCACTTTAGCAATTGTTTATTGCTGTGGTTGTTTCCACCTGATGACGTGCACTTGTGTTGCGCCTGAAATGTCATGATTTAATTTATTTTATATCTACGTGACTTTACCGACAGAACCAAAGAGTATGGATTCCTGCAGTCACGAAAACTTCAAATCTAGAGTGTAGTGATGTGTTATTATTACTCTGCTGATCACTTTTATTGTATCACATTGCAGCGTCTTCTGGCTGCGTTGTGCCGAGCTGCGATGACAAACCTGGTACAACCTGTCCAGCCAGAAGCGAGCGTCTTGGAATGGACCAATCATCTCATGATCAATTTACAAAAATATTTCGCCTCTATATTTTGCTCCATTGAATGCTTATTGACATCAGTAAAATATATTTACGGAATTTATTTGCTAATTGTGGAAATTATACATCGTTCTTTAAGTGTTCTTGATAGTGTTCAATACTGGCACATCATGACATAAATAGTAATTACTAAATATATATGACATGTTCCACCAATATTGATTACTTTGTGCTTTCACTTCTGAAACTCCTTCACGTTTTCATTTGATCGTCATGAATTTATATTCATAGTTTAATCACAATCTTGGTGAACACCTTGGTGTAAGCACTTATTAATGAGCAACATGAACAAATCACCCTTGTACGATGTGGCGATGAACATGGGTGGGGAGCCTCGCCATATTGGGTGGCGTCACGATTTTTTAAAAAAAGTTTGTATCCAGGGTAACAGCCTTCTTCAACAATAATGAACCTTACGGCGGTACCCCAGGGTACCATAGAACCTCGGCTCTCGCATAATGTCCGTGATGCAGTCGTTTTTAGTTTGTTGATGGTCGGCGATGCGGAAATCGACTCATCTCGACAAGCTGTACACGATGCACTATTCAAAGTTTAAATTATCCTGTACAACTGTTAAATGATGGGTGCCTCATCGGTCATGGAGCTAAACCAGAACCACTGGGATATAGGTTTAAATCTAGGTTACAGCGACTTGTAATTTAAGTGGGTTCTCAAGTGCATTTGATGGTCTCAGCCCAGTCACCAATGACTTTATGTATTAAAAAAAATTGCAGGTAAAATGTTCAATTGAATTTGTCTGAATAGATATGTCATGAGAAAAACGATCTCATGGCTGCACACACACCCATACACAAAAGACATTAATTTGGTTTTCACTTTCCTTGGCTATATTACAGCATTGAAAGCTTAAACATCGGTTTGACTTTCATGGGAGAAACTCATCGCAGGGTGCATGGGAGAGTTCGGCCACAAGTTTGTGAAACATCTTGCATTAAATAATAACAGTTCTACTGTGAGACTTCCAAATGGTTTCTTCGTCTCATCATATGGCGCTACGACCTTGAAATAAATGAAAGAGAACAAAATATCCCTTTTTATTACACGCTTTCTATTAACTCACTGTCTGTTGTCGTTTCTTTAAATCTTGTAACTCAATTTTAACCTACTTCCCAATGTCGTATCGACTGTAAACTTGGTATACGTATGTCAGACTGATGACAATACTATATTAAATCATGAAAATATTTTTTTAAACAATCTTTTTTATATGTTATGTTTCGGCTTGGGTCTAATTGTCCACGCCCAACTCATGTTGGCTGTAAATCACCACGGTCCCTTACGTTATGGCAAGCCTCGGGGCCACTTCCTGGAGTCGTGGAGTTCTGCCATTACTCGTACGGTACATTTAATTAAAGTGTGTTTAAAAAAAAGTATTTTAAATATTACTTATTTTCGTTTCACACGCACACTTTATGGTAAACAGGCAGCAAGCCTCACTCATTTCAAAGGGCATTTAGCGACACTTGCAACACGGTTTCCCACAGTACACCCGAACAAAATCGCTATCCTCAGGGTGTAATGATTAACTCTACTCCCCCACCCTCCACTCCTCGAAAAAATAGTGTCCCAGAAAAAAAATATTTAATTGCTTTGGCCATTTTTTTATTATTTGGTACCCCGGGGTACCGCCATAAAGATAGTTTCTTGTTTTCTGCTTAGCCTGTGTATAACGTCAATGTCATTGAGCCAGGTTATAGAACTGATATACGTTATCTCTTTCAGAAGAAAATCCCTGAGTGATGCAATTATAGAGGGATATTGTTTGGGTCTTTCGGTAAAGTCACGTAGTTAATAACAAAAAACTACGTTTCGATCGCAACACAAGTGGGGTTTTTTTCCCGTCATCCTCCTGATGACGACCGCTTGCGTTGTGATCGAAACGTCGTAGTTTTTGTTATTTTCTTTAACCTAACTGTGATTTTACCGAAAAGTCACGTAGTTTGGTTGAACGAAAATACGAACCATAATGAAGGACAACCACAAAGCAGGGCCAGCGTGCTTGCGACCTAGTCAAATTGTATGGAGAGATTGTTTTTTTCCCTTTCAACGAATTACAACTACGATCTAACCTCAAATGTCAGACACTGAGACAGTGTTGACACACGTATTA